ACTAATTTTTTTCTTTTTTTAAAAAAACAATAACTAAAATCGATGACTTCGAGAAACTTGAAAAAGGAAAACTTACAGCGCTGACCGCTTTCAAAATTTTCGCCGGAGGTACCACAAGTACCGATTCGCTGCTGCTACATGTTGCCATGGCCTCCTCGTCCATTCCGCAAGCTGTAAAATTTTCAGCTTTTACAAAATACAACCGGAAAGTGGTAAAAGTTACGTATTTTGCGTGTGGTGCTCGAAAAAGCGAAAATAACTGCTCGTAAAACATCCGAAAAAATATAACTTGTGTAAACATTGCAAACTAAAGTTAGGCTGCTTAACATAGAAAAATTTTTATAAACGTTCCAAATCAATTCTGATTTTATCTCGGCGATATCGAAACTCTAAAACTAACAAATCCGGTGTTATAAGAAATATTGCTGAATGTAGCTGCATTTCCAAATTTTACCTGAACAAGACAAGAAGCATATTTTTTGAGGTCAAAGTCACAAATCTTAATTTTGACACGATTTATGAATTTTTGCGGTAAAATTTAATATTCTTGAGATCTACTTGGTGAAAAAAATGAAGTAGAAGCAAATTTTGTTAAACAAAGCTGGCATTACTTTGACAAAAAATTCTGACAAAATGCGGTAAAATGAGGCAGAATCTTCCCAACAATTGGTGAAAATGAGGTAAATGTTTGCGGTATTTTGGTCGTTTTGGAGAAGGACGATGAATCGAAGCTACATTGGCAGGCTTGCCAAAAGTATCCTGGGGTTTCCGGGGGCAATTAAGCCAGCAACGGTTATAAAGGAATAATTCAGAGGCCGCCGTCATTATGCAAATTTGCATGGAACTGCTGAATTGAATTGTACAAATAATCGCCTGTTAATCGCGCAGTACAGCAGGATGCAGCCGGATCTATTTCCGGTGTCCTTGATGATGACAAGGAGCAACACACAGAGCAGCGACCAGTGGCAGAGTTTGGCGTACCTAGAAAAGCTAATTTATCATGTACTTCCAAAGATTACCGGAACTAGCAAGACCACCTGGACAATCCCAGTAAGGATGTTACTGGGGTGCTCGCACACGCCGGGCGCGCCTTTGTGATAATACTGGGCACGCCCTTCTCTCTACAGGTCAAGATCGACATGCAAATCTTACTTCAAAAAAAA